TATTACCCTCATCCCTCCAGGTAGCTTAGTGGCTAAGAGCGTTGTGCCAGTAATCGAAAGGTCGCTGGTTCTAATCCCCGAGCCGACTAGGTGAAAAATCTGCCGATGTGCCTTTGAGCAAGGCACTTAACCCTAGTTGCTCATGTAAGTCGCTCTGGATAAGAGCGTCTGCTAAATGACGTAAATGTAAAATGTAAAATGTAAATGTAATATTACCAACATCCCCCCATATTACCCTCATCCCCCCATATTACCCTCATCCCTCCATATTACCCTCATCCCTCTATATTACCCTCACCCCCCCATACTAATCTCATCCCTACATATTACTCTCATCCCTCTATATTACCCTCACCCCCCCATATTAACCTCATCCCTACATATTACTCTCATCCCCCCATATTACCCTCATCCCCCCATATTACCCTCATCCCTCCATATTACCCTCATCCCTCCATATTACCCTGATCCCCCATATTATTCTCATCCCCCCTATTACCCTCATCTCATATTACCCTCATCCCACACTGCCACCACTCTGGGCTCCACTGCCCCTATAATAAAAACCCATGACACCATTCCATTTTAGATCCCAGCAACCTTGTCACACAAACCAAAGCTATGGACATACTTCCACTGTCAGATAATACACTGTCTGTGTTTCTTTCAACTCATCCAGGTGCCAATAGACTGACAAGCATATGCGTGAACCACATCTTTTTTACCTCAGTAGTGGTTGTGGCGTTTGATTCAGTGGGCACACTTGTGTCTGTCGTTTGAGTTTAGGACACAAATCAAACGAGACAATGCATGGCGTTCGCGTGGTTATTTAGTAGAGGATTTGATGCATCTGACAGTTGTGCAAATGTGACATCTTTCAAAGAGGTACCAGGCAGGCGAAAACGAGTTTGTCATCCCCATGCAGGGAAAATAGGCTGTCTAAGCAGCAGGCTCTTACCTAGGCAATTTGGACTTATTTTGATGTGTGGGGAAGAATAGGCCAGAACTGAAAGTCAGGATGAACCTCCAATTTACATTGAAAGTAGTCTGTCTAGGTATTGGGGAAAAACACAATACGAGCGACAGTATATTATTAGGGCTGTGTCTGAAATGGCACCCTATTCACTACACAGTGCACTACCTTTGACCTCACTCTGTTGTGAATAAGGTGCCATTGGGCCCTGCCCAAATGTAGTTCACTGCCATTTCAGATGGTCAAAAGTAGTGCACTGTATAGTGAATAGGGTGCCATTTCCGACGCAGACAAGGTCTCTACATAGGAGCTGCTTGTTGAGTGTCAAGGCTGTAAAGGAGATACGATAGGCTAAATGTAGCGTGTTAGCCTCTGAATGGTGTGTGGGCAGGCTCATTAAATGTAAATAGCACTTATCATTAACCTCTGCAATGACACTAACCTCGCTATTCGCTAATTACAATGAATGCTTCAGACCCATGGGTTCACATGCAGCCCGTAGAGGCTGTGTCCCAAATGGCATCCTATTCCCTATATCATGCACTACTTTGCCCAGAGCCTAATGGACCCTGGTCAAAAGTAGGTCACTATCTAGGGAACAGGGTGTCATTTGGGACATACACAGAGGCTACGGAGTGGAGCGAGTCCAACAATTAATTAGCTAGAAAATGTTTGCGATTTTTCTTTATTGACTGCATTGTTTAGTGACATAATGTATTGCCCTTTACATGGGATGGAGAGGAGAGGAACAACTAGGGTATGACCTCTACTTGAAAAGTCAGGTCCAACAGAATGTCATACTGCATGTTCGGCCCCAAGGGTACCACTTATCCATTCACAGCTGTGCTACTGCAGTGATACTGTCAGATATTTTTCTGCCATTAAAATCCTTGGGCAAACAGTGTAACACTTATTTATTTATTTTTATACATTTTCGGGGTGGAAAAACGCTTTCAGTGTAAACTGAAATGACTAAAACCAGATATAAATGATGTAGAAAAGATAATGTGCCTATATATTTTTTAATAATATAATATTTGAAAACTAACAATCACCAAAATGAAAGCTAGACAGTCAGGGAGAATTGAAAAATCCCAAAACAATGAATTTAGCAGTATTGATTTTGTTATTATGTTTGAGCAAAAGAACACAGCATTAGCCATGGCAAAATGTATGGAATTGCAGGAAATTAGCTTTAAAGTAACCGTACAGTGAAAATATTCTGAAAACTCATACCCAAATAATGTTGTTGACTCATCCTATATTCGTATTTGTGACATAAATTGGAGAAAAAAACACTTTAAAAACCCCACCTCAAACATGAATCTCGGCCTCCCGAGTGGCGCATCGGTCTAAGGCACTGCATCACAGTGCTAGAGGTGTCACTACAGACCCGGGATTGATCCCAGGCTGTGCCGCAACCGGGAGACCCATAAGATGGCGCACAATTAGCCCAGCGTTGTCTGGGTTAGGGGAGTGTTTGGCCAGCCAGGATGTGCTTGTCCCATTGCACTCTAGCGACTCCTTGTGGCGGGACAGGCACATGCTGACTTCAGTCACCAGTTGTATGGAGTTTCCTCCGACACGTTGGTGTGGCTGGTTTCTGGGTTAAGCAAGCAGTGTGGCTTGGCAGGGAGATGTTTCAGAGGACGCACCAATGGGACAAGACTATAACTACCAATTGGGGAGAAAAAGAGGTAAAGAAATATTATAAAACAAATATATTTATCTCTAACAGGCTGTTATTTTTTTTTTGCTATTTCCTCAAAGAGTATGATGTCATACTCCTGAGGAGAATAAAATGGCCTATCAGCCATCTAGAGGAGGATGAGCTGGCCAATCAGCGGTCTACTCTCATTAATATTTTTTATGAACGGTAAACACCCACACTATTCTGTCTTCACTTCCAACACAGAAAATCTTCTTTTTAACATACTTAATTAAATGTTTTTGTAAGGATAACTATTTCACTCATATTGTAAGTAATTATAGGTAATATTTTATAAAATCTGGAAACATTGTACAGTTACTTTAAAACTGCAAAATGTTCTCTCAGCTCCATGGCAGAATATGTAGAATTGCAGAAAATTAGCTTTAAAATGGCAACATTTTCTCTCAGCTCCATGGAGAAATGTGTAGAATTGCAGGAAATTGGCTTAAAAATGCAAAAAGTTCTACATACTGCCAAGATTTTATCTCAAATTCAGCCGCACTTACGGGCCGACCTCGTCCATTACCACACCCCCATCACGCCTCTTGCCACGCCCACCACTTAAGCCCCTTTTTGATCCAGAAAAAACCCTGACTGTATCTTGTTCACCCTCACAGACAAAACAACAGCCACACAGGCCTTCTTCACTCTCAATGCTCTGTATGACTTCACAACAAAACCTGTTGTCAGTGGACATATCAAAGACAATTGTTTATCCTAGATGTAATCAATAGTTCACTGCAGAGCCATTATTTTAAACATATGGCTTTGGTTAACTGTGTTCACTTCCATTTATTGACAGTTGTTGACAGTTGTATAGTTCTGTAGAAGTATGTAGAAGTTTACAGTCTGTACGCTGTTTACTCCCATCTTTCATTCATAATGAATCAAATTTGTATCAAATTAGTTATATAAAGCTGAAGAAACCAGCAGATGGTATTCTGATAGGTGATTATTTCCTCAGACATCAGTCCTCTGAACACACCTGGGGCGCGTTCAGCTAAGGCTGACACAATTACCGTATAACCGTGTAACTGACGGTAATGGATGAAGACCATCATGAAAATAAAATAACCTTCATAACTGTTTGTGTGGAACGAACAGCTGACTGAAGAAAAGGACGGCCGTGCATTTGTGTGGTTGAGTCCGTATCGGCCGTAACGTGGACATTTAACAATGTGATGAAACTTTGCTCCTCCTTGCTGAAACAAGCAAACTAGTCTTCGGTTCCTAGGTAAAACATTCTCTAAGACCTAAACCTCAACTGGAGTTGTGCATAAAGGGTGTGGTGGCCATTGAGCAAGTTGAGGAAGCTAAACTCCTAGGTATAACATTGAATGATCAATTATCATGGTCAAGTCATATTGACATAGTTGATTTGAAAATAGGGAGGGGTATGTCTTTTATAAAAACATGTTCTGCGTTTCTAACACAAAAATCAGCTGTACTAGTTGTTCAGGCTCTGGTCTTGTCCCATCTTGATTACTGTCCTGTAATATGGTCAAGTGCAGCAAAGAAAGACCTAGAAAAGCAGCACGCCTTGCCCTTAACTGCACATTACGGTGGCTGCGGTCATTTGGCAGGCCAATTACAGACATCAATGATTTTCACAGCCCTACGTTCAGCAGGACGCAAAGTATGGGAACATTCAGATAGATATACAGTACCAGTTAAAAGTTTGGACACACCTACTCATTCAAGGGTTTTTCTTTAGTTTTACTATTTTTTACATTGTAGAATAATAGTGAAGACATCAAAACTATGAAATAACACATATGGAATCATGTAGTAACCAAAAAAGTGTTAAACAAATGAAAATATATTTTATATTTGAGATTCTTCAAATAGCCACCCTTTGCCTTGAAGACAGCTTTGCACACTCTTGGCATTCTCTCAATCAGCTTCACCTGGAATGCTTTTGCAACAGTCTTGAAGGAGTTCCCACATATGCTGAGCTTTTCCTTCACTCTGCGGTCCGACTCATCCCAAACCATCTCAATTGGGTTGAGGTCGGGGGATTGTGGAGGCCAGGTCATCTGATGCAGCACTCCATCACTCTCCTTCTTGTTAAAATAGCCCTAACACAGCCTGGAGGTGTGTTGTGTCATTGTTCTGTTGAAAAACAAATGATAGTCCCACACAGCAAAAATTGGAGTGTTGAAATTTCAGGGTTAAACATTTCCGAGTTGATTTTCACTCCCAGAGTGTAATTTTAACACATTCTGATTTAAATGGTGTTCAGCGTTGGAGTTATTTGACAGAGTTGATCCGGTCAGTGTTAACCCAACTCCGCAGAGATGTAATTAAGCTCCGCCCATGCATTTCACTTCTTCGGTTGGAGACAGAGGAGACAAGTCGGCGCCATTTTCTCCCTCCCATGCAGTACTACACGGTAAGTGCAATTAACTCAAACTTACTGAAACAATTTTAAATTGATGCTGAGAATTTCAGTATGAACAATGAAACATCTACAGAGAATATATGCCTAACAAAACCGTGTTTGTTGCCAGGACTGAGCAGCAAATTTGTCCTGGTGATTAGCTAGCTAGAAGTGTATGGTAAGCTAGCTAATAGTTTGTTACTTAAACCGTCTCCAACTTTATCAATGATGATTTAATAAAGGAAAAACAAAGCGTTATGTTTGTTTACTGTATAAAATCTTGTTTGAGGCTGGAGCTAACGTATTTTTTCCCCCCTTCACTTTGAACATCAAAGGGGCCGCAAAAAACATGTCCCAGCATGCAGACGGTGTTTCACGTGTTTAGTTGTCTGTGTGACCAGCGTACCACTGTATTTGGTGACCCATCAGATTCTATGACCTGCAGTGTTGAAAAAAGTACTCAGATCATTTACTTAAGTAAAAGTATATAAGTATTACCAGTTAATTGTACTGAAATTACTAAGTTAAAGCTAAAGTACAAAATTAGCAGAAAATCGGGCTGTGACTAATATATTAAACATTTATTAAACATTTAAGTGCATCATTAAATACTGATGAGTCAATGCATAAGCAGCATTTTAATATCTCAGTCACAGCGCGATTTTCTGAAAATTAGTACTTTTTCCAACAGTGCAGGTCACAGAATCTGATGGGTCACCAAAAATGGTGTAACACTGTCGACTTAGCTTTAATCTTTACCGTTCTTCCTTTAAATGTTAATTTACTTTGTCAAACTTCCTTGCATGTCTCAGTCAAAATGCTGGTCCAAGTGAAGTACAGCCAACAGCAGAAATATGTGAAGCTGGATGAGGATGAAGGATGGTTTGACTTTATGCAATTCCATGAAAACGGTTAGCATGGCTTAGGAAAAAGGTTTTAAACCACACCCATGTTCTTTTAAAAGCTCATTGTGCAAGCTCCTTAATGTTGTCGATTCTGATTTCTTTACATGCCTTTATCAGACTCTTTTATATGGTAAATTGGGTTAAATTGCTAATCATTTTCAGTTCTGTAATGTGTGCTTCATAGAGTGTAAAGTATTAATATACACCAAAACAGTCAATAAAAAAAGCCAATCATCCATTTTTAAATTTGGACTTAAGAGGGAATGGGTTATGTGAGGGAAAATGCTCTAGGTCTATTTAAGGATTATACAGTGGTGGATGTATGTATTTAACGTGAACAGTTATTGGCTGTGAGGCAAGAAACAGTTTGACCTTACTATCTTTTCCAGTCATCAAGAGATTTTGCCTGCCACCTGATGCAAAAGTTATATACAAGGATGCAACAGGGACAGAAGTTGATGCCGAAATATTCAGCGACCTCGTTGGACAAGGCAATGTGGTGCTGACAGTATTCTCAGATCAGGGTGAGATATCAAGGCAGGTATAATAAAGCACTTTACACCTTACATAATATAATTATTTTTCTATTCCTTTAGAATTCTCTGATTTCTCCTTGTCTTCTGCTTCTGAGACGTCTGACTCAAGCTTCAGCTCAAGTGCATCAACTATAATCCTAGATGATGTCCCTAGCAAGAGACAAATAATTGAGGATACACGTGAGGCTGTGTCTACTGAACAGGTTTCTTAATGCTTTCACATTTTTCTCTAGAAAAGCTATTTATCACCATGTTTTGTATTCTAATGTTTTGGTTTTTTATTAGTTGATTGAAGCTGTGCTAAGAGGCAAGTCTGGGGATGAAGAAGTACTACAGGAGAACCAAACAACAGAAACCCTAACAGATGCTACAAGAAGAAAAATGGTTAACATCCTGGTGTCTCACATGATTGACAATCATGGGTATGTTTGTTTCACATTGTTTTTATTTGTGCCAAATAACTGCATGGCCATTGCATAAATGTACTAATTTAATATCTCCTCTCAGGCACCACCCCACTAAAGCAATCAGAGAAGACTATGCACGTGGGATAGTGATGTTGTTCCCTTCCCTCAAGGATCCATACTCCAAGAAGGGCTATGTAATAGGCATTATTATTGTTAACTCTTTCATGTCATGTTGTGACACAAAACTGTGTGGACGACATTGATATTTGAATTCCGTGAGATTTCTCATGAGCCTGGTATGACAACGCATTTCTTTTCTTTTTTTCATTTCAGGAACACTTCTATGATGCTGCAAGCAGCACAGGATACATTTCTTGGCGTCTGAAAACAGTCCAGAGGAAGATTCGTCGAGGATCTGCACTGCCACCAAATAGCCCAATTGACTTTTCTCCAGGGGGCCCAAATTTCCAAAGCAATGTTAATGTTGAAAGGCAGCTTGATGGTGATGCTTGCCAAGAAGCCATGTCTTTGCTCAACCGTACCACAGACAATTCCCTGATTTTCCAGAAGATGAGAGAGACCTTTCAGCACAGTCAGAAGCTCGTTAATGACCCAGGCAGAAGTGTTCATATCCTCTCCAGCTTCCCAAGATTCCTGGATACAAAAGGATTGGTAAGTTTGGGATGAGATGTTTAGAATGGCTTGACATTTGAAAGTATTTCCTGAAGTAGTAGAAGTAGTAGTAGTAGTAGTTTAATATCTTATTTCTTAAAGGTGGACCAAGACTTCACTCTCCTATTTGATGACGACACATCCTCCAGGCTTCTTCAGAAATGGGATTTGTTCTTCAAGCCAAATGTCATAAAAGAGGCTAAGCGGCTCACCTCAACACCAGAGTTGCGTCGCTTGGTGCAGTCAGCAGAAAGTCCCCCAGGAAGTGATCTTGATGAGGCAACAAGTGAGTTGTTTTAATTTTTTTAATTTTAATACATTTGCTATAATTGCAGTTAAACTATAACTGCAATAATATTTCATTTGTTTATTCTGTGTATCTCTGAACGTTGATCTGATTTTTGGGATAAATGTGACTAATAGATGGATGACGGTTTAAAACGTTCTCATAATGCCTCCCTGTTCTCATTCAAACTTGAAACGTATTACATTTGAAGAGTTTTCAGTTAATTCTTGTGACTCTTTGTCCTCAGCCTACGACCAAGAAATGGCTTCCCTGTTGTAGCTGTTACATTCCACCACCTCCAGGGGGACTGAAGTCTCCAAATATTAGTGCATGTGATGCAGTTGAGAGACTTGTTGTCTTTCATAAGGTAATTATATTATTAAGGTGATTATAATAATTTGTAACGTCACCTTCTTAGCCACATATGTAAATGAGGGTTGTTAAAAAGTGGATGGAATTTTAATTAAGACTTCATTCCCATCTTGCACTAGCCAATGAAAAGATGTTTGAATAATCACTTCTATAATGTAGTTTTCTCTGTGGCTGCACATTATTCTTGTGTCTAATTTTCAGTTTTCTGATCTCAACCCTAGTCATGCTGCAGTTTGGAGGAGCATCTCCGCAACCAGCAGGGTCGGCAGCCGTACCTCCTCGCTGTTGGGCGTCAGAAGAGCAAGACTGAGAGCTTCTACATCACAATGGATAAGCGTCTCATCCCATGCAAGGCAAACCGCTCCCTCGGGGCATGTGATGAACTTTTCAAAGCACATTTTGTGTTTAATTTGTCTTACGATGTGGCACTTGTGAATTTTTACACATTCCTGCAGACAACAGTGTATAACATTGATGTGAGGAAAATGAAGGAGTCACCCCCCAGAGTTAAAGACTTGAGAGCGAGACTGCTTAACCAGCCAGTAGCACTCTCACCCTGTGAGTAAGAAGCTATAACAATGTTGACCTGTTTCATGTGTCAGAAATATTATCCCAGCAGTCAACAGTTGATTTCACATTTAAGAGTTGAACATGGTTACTATCCTGGACCCAAGTTCAAATTGTTTTGTTCTCAGCAAGGCTGTAGGCATCAGTTCCTAACATATACAGGTTTTCGGAAGCACCTTAATAGTGTTCATAGTAATGTTCAGCAAATTGCTCAAACTTCAACTGTTGCATGTTCATCTAGTGAGCCAGTTGCAACTTCATCTCAGGCACATGCTTTGGAGGACACATTTAATCCACAAAATCAATGTAGCTCTTCCAGTGTTTAGGGACTTACTAAAGATCCAACTAAAGAAATGTGTGCATCCATCGTGGCCAAATTACAGGGGAGTGGGATTTCCAACAGTTTGGTATCCTCAATTGTAGGAGATTTGGAAGAACTAACAAGTGAGATTCGCTCACAAGCAAAGCATACAGCTATTTATGCTTTACCTATAACTGACCCCAACATACAGTATCTGTGATAAATGAATATTTTGAAGATTATGAAAACCCGTTCACAAATCTAAATACAGAATGGAAACGAAATAAATACTTCCACCAAAAATGGTGAGTTGTCGAGCCAGTAGAAATAACACTGGGAGTGAGATATGACAACAGGCGAAATCAGAAATCCGGTACTTATGATCAAGTACCTGTGAAGGATACTTTTACATATGTGCCGATTTTAGAAACATTGAAGTTCATGTGCAGAAATCCAGACATTTGTGTTTTGCTAAAGAAAGAGTGTAGATCAGAGCCTGACACTTATACTGACTTTTTTTATGTAAGTTATTTTAAAACCCACCCTTTGTTTACAGCAAATAGACATGCATTACAAATCCAACTATACTATGATGATTTTGAAACAGCCAATCCCCTTGGCTCCAAACTTGGAATTCACAAAATTGGCTCTCTTTATTTTGTTGTAAGAAACTTTCCCCCAAAATGTAATTCGGTTTTGATGAACATTCATTTGGTAACACTTTTTCACACACAAGATCTGCACAAGTATGGTTTTGATGTTATACTAGAACCGTTGATAAATGATTTGAAAAAGCTAGAAAGCCAAGGGCAAAGTCTTCCATTTTCAGATGAGCAGGTATATGGTACAATCTGTCAGATCACTGGAGATAATCTAGGGATGCACACAATTCTTGGTTTTAATGAGTCATTCAGTAGCCGTCATTTCTGTCGCCTTTGTTTGATTGAGAAGAATGATTGTCAAACGGTATACAGTGAGGATGATCCTAAGGTGATCCTTCGTGGAAAAGATATGTTTGAAATGCATTGCCAGTCTCTCCAGGAAAACCCACAATTGAAGTCACTTTATGGTTTGAAAAAAAGATTGAAGTATTTCCATGTTTGTAATAACTATTCATTTGATATCATGCATGATCTTCTTGAGGGTGTGGTTCAGTATGAGGTCAAATTGCTTTTTGGATATCTCACACAACACTTTATGTCAGAACAGGACTTGCTTTCCAGGATTTATGGTTTTGATTATGGATTTTTAGAACGAAAAAATCGTCCTACAAAGATTATTTTGGAGAGTGTTGGCAATGGCATTGGTTTGAATTCTATTCAGACATTGTGTCTTGTGAAAAACATCCCACTGTTGTTTGGTGACATTATTCCTGCAGGAAACAAAAACTGGAATTTGTTACTGTTGTTACTTCAAATAATGAACATAGTTTTTTCACCTTCTCTCACTCTAGGTATGACAATATATTTAAAGCATTTGATTGTTGACCACCACAAACTATTTAAGCACTTGTATCCACATAGAAACTTGATACCTAAGCATAATTGTATGATCCATTACCCATCTTCTATAAGGAAAATTGGCCCCTTATTATATACGTGGTGTATGAGGTTTGAGGCCAAACACAAGCTGTTTAAAGATTGTTTTAAAAATTTCAAAAACATAACCAAATCGCTTGCTAAAAAGCATCAGATGGCCATTGCTTATCACTGGGAAACCTTCACCCTCAAACAAAATGAATATGGGCCAATTAAATATTTTCTCTTCAGAGATAAGAATGTCGTCAACAATGAAATGCTTGAAACGATCTTGTCAAAAGATGTTTTCTCAACTAGTTGGGTTAAAGTTGATGGTGTAGAGTATAAAGCTGGACTAGTTATTTGCAGTGCAATGGAAGAAGACATGCCCCTACCTGTCCCCTACCTACGAAACCCCTACCTGTCCCAGACCTGCTGTTTTCAACTCTTAATGATCGGCTATGAAAAGCCAACTGAGAGACCTGAGCCCTAGGACCATACGTCGGGACTACCGGCCGTGGTGACTCCTTGCTGTCCCCAGTCCGCCTGGCCTTGCTGCTATTCCAGTTTAAACTGTTCTGCCTGCGGTTATGGAACCCCTACCTGTCCCAGACCTGCTGTTTTCAAACTCTTAATGATCGGCTATGAAAAGCCAACTGAGATTTATTCCTGATTATTATTTGACCATGCTTGTCACTTATGAACATTTTTGAACATCTTGGCATGGTTCTGTTATAATCTCCACCCGGCACAGCCAGAAGAGGACTGGCCACCCCTCATAGCCTGGTTCCTCTCTAGGTTTCTTCCTAGGTTTTCGCCTTTCTAGGGAGTTTTTCCTAGCCACCGTGCTTCTACACCTGCATTACTAGCTGTTTGGGGTTTTAGGCTGGGTTTCTGTACAGCACTTCGAGATATTAGCTGATGTAAGAAGGGCTATATAAAATAAAATTGATTGATTGATTGACATGCCAGTCTTTTGTCAAATAAGTGATGTACTTTTGGTTGAAGATCACTTTTTTTTTTTGACAAACAAGCTATTTACAGAGAATTTTGATGACCATTGTAGTATCTGAGGAATTAT